TCTCCACAGCTGTGGTGAAGAACCCCCCTAACAACCTGTGGATCATTGCGGCAGTGCTGGCGCCCATCGCCGTGGTCACGGTCATCATCATCATCATCACTGCTGTGCTCTGTAGGAAGAACAAGAACGACTTCAAGCCAGACACTATGATAAACCTGCCGCAGAGAGCAAAGGTATGTGGGGGCAGTAGGGAGAGGACAGGCACCGGGCCTGCAGAGGCTCTGCCTGCCTTTTCCTCTCGGCTCCTGTGGCCACTGCAAGTGTCTTCAGAGCCATTGTTATAGTCCTTATTTATTTATTTATTTATTTATTTATTTATTTATTTATTTATTATTTATCATTTGTTTTTGGTACTAGGGATTGAACCCAGGGGCGCTTACCACTGAGCTACATCCTCAACCCTTTTTTTATTTTATTTTGAGACACGGTCTCACTAATTTGCTTAGGGCCTTGCTAAGTAACTGAGTCTGTCTTTGAATATCCGACATTTCTCTCAGCCTCCCAAGTTGCTGGAATTACAGAAGTACGTCACTGTGCCAGGCTATCGTCTCATTTTGAAGGAGACCCTTTATTTCATAATCAGGACAGGATAATTAATGTTTATCTGATGCTCACTCTTGGCCACAAATGCATCCAACCGGTTTTCAGATAGCAATTCTCTAATCCTCACAGCATCGCTTGGAGGAAAGACCATAATGTGACAGATGAGAAAACTGAGATGCAGAAAATTAGGAACTAGAGAGACCTGAAAGGACTTTAGAGATGATTCAATCAGATTCCCTTCTTTTACATGTGAAACGTAATTCCTTCAATGGTTCTTGAGTAGCAGAACTGACCGTAGCATCAAGCGTGCTGTGGTCTGAATATTTGTGTTTCCTGCGTTCATACAATGAAATCCAATGCCGTGATGTCGGTAGAAGAACCTCTAAGAGATGATTAGGTCATGCAGGTGGAGCCTCTAGGGATTAGATTAGGTCCCTTGTAATAGAAGTCCTAGAGCTCTCCCTGCCTCTGCTATCATGGGAGAACACAAGAAGTGGGCTTCTGCGGCCTGCTAGAGGGCCCTTGCTAGAGTCCAGCCACGCTATCCCCTTCTCCTGGACTTCCAGCCTCTAGAACTGTGAGAAAGAAGTGTCTGTCAGTCACTCCCTGGGGCACGTCAACTCTCAAACTGTTCCTTGTTCTGTCCACTGGAGTGACTTCTCTTCAGTGGCTGCCGTGATAGACAAGGAACATGGCCAGTGCTGGATGCCCATCAAGCATCAGTTCCAAGGCTCTCCTGATGCCTGGCCTAGAGTGCCTGCCGTCCCTTCTCTGTCACCTGCATATCTCTGCGAGTCCACATCTGGTGACTGGGAGGGGGCTGCACTGGGGAAGTTCTGAAGGCTGATTTCCTAGTCACGTAGCTGCTCCGTGATGTTCTCTGAGGGAAATAGCCTAACTGTGACACCCGGTGCTTAAATAATGTCTGACAATTTGCTGGCTCTTCTAGGTCTCTCACCCCATGTGTTCCTCACAGCAGCCCTGTGAGGTAGGTCACAGTCAGGGCAGGTTTTATTATCCTCATTTAACTGCCAAGAAGCCCAAGGGAAAGGAAGGCGTTGGGGTTGGGCCAAAGTCGTATAGCTAACAGCGTAAGGGTGGCTGGAGCCCTCATCTGCACATTCCATAGCTACCTGACCCCTGATATGGGCAGGGAGCGTTAGCTGCCTGCTCTGAACCTCCGAGCTTGGTCTGTGTGGAAAGGGCCAGTCACCCTTCATGCTTCATATCCATTGGAATGGAGGTTGGCCGTGGTGACCGTCCTTGCTGGGGGTCATGCATTACATGCCTTCACTTTTTCTTCCTGATCACACCTCACTTCAGCAAATCATGGGTTTTTTTTTTTAAATTGTTTCCTAAACCCACACACCTGTTGTGAAGCTGCAGCTTGATTAGACACTTTTCCACTGAAAAGCTGAACCCCAAAGAATATTGTTCTGCTTCTGTTGATGCAGAGGCACCTGCTTGCCAGACGCCCGCCGCAGGATGTTGGTTAAGGAGGGTACCAACTGTTCCAAGAAGAAGGATTTCACTCTGTCTTAGCTGGGTTACAACATGAGCCTTTCAGACGTGACAGTAATTACCAGAATCTAATTGCAGCTGGGTCCAGGAATGTAAAACATGCCACGTCGGGGTGGGAAGTGGCATCTTTGTGTTGCAGATTAAACCCAAACCTTACTCATCTGCCAAGATGAGTTGGGCAACACACGATTGCAGCATCCCTTCTGGCTTGGAAGCTGTCTGGAGCTGAGACAGATGACTGTGGCTTTCCACAGCTCCTTTGGTGTCCCATGCAGCATGCTTCCTAAGATACCTGGCTGATGTCAAACACCAAGTCAATTTATGTCCCTGGAGCTGATTGCCTTCTCTTGTGTTTGATGCTGCTGATTGTCTTCTCCCTCGACAAGGCTAGGCGAAGCACTTAAGATCTCCAAAGCCCCTTTGTCATGGGAAAGCAGCAGAGTGGAACTGCTTCTGTCTTACTGCAGTGCTGCTGTTGCAAGCCAGGGACACTGCGGTGTTTGAGAGAGCAGAGAGTGGCTGCATCGCTTCTCACAACCCGGCGCGTGTGTGTGAGCAGAATGCAACCATGCCAAGGGACAAGGAGGAATGAGAAAGCTAGCCTTTGCCACCAATCCATAGGCGAGGTGGATGGTCCTGGGGACATCACTGTGTCTTTAGCATGCAGGATGCCGTGCCAGAGACGTCCTGGGGACCCTTCCTGAGACTCAGTAATAAACTTAACATGCTAAGCAGAGGAGGTGAGCGTGGTTTTCCTGGGAGCTGAGGCCAGTTCGTGGATCCTGCATCCCTTCTTCAGAGACAAGGTACTTAGACATCCCCCTGGTCACCAGGCCACCAACTGGGCTTCTGCAGGTGGAATGTTGAGAAAATGGTAAATGCGAGCAGGCCAGGGCTCATGATGTTTGTACCTCCCCTCCTCCTAGTTCTCTACATTCTTTGTCATTGGATTTACAACCTCCCCCACCCCCGCTAACCCCAGTTTCCTCCTTATGTAATTAAAGAGAATATTGCTTCCTGGAACAGACATCCTTGGGAGAAAGTAGTTAGGGCCATTCCTGGTGCAGGATGGAGCTCAGAGGGCCGGCAATGGTTGACATGAATTTTTGCTGGGACAGAACATTCATCTCCTAAGTCAACTGTTTCCTCTTTTTTACATACTATCTGTATGAACTCAGGAAAGGTACTTAAAATTAACCTCTTTGTGCCTTGATTTTCCAATCTGTAAAATGGAGGTGGTAACAATATTCATGGATAGGTTGTTGTGAGGAGTAAGTGGGTTAATATATGTAAACTGCTTTGAGCTCTGCCTGGTACATAATACATATTTCATACAAGTTGGCTTTTATTGTTGCACATGCTTTTTTTAATAGGTCTTGGTAATATGTCTGTCTTTGAAATCATTGGGGATTATTTTTATTTGACAATTTTATAAAATGCATTGCATTAACTATATATACTTCATGAGGTTGTATTACTCAGGTTGGGAGTCACTAGGATGAGCCCAACAGGTAATTAATTAATCTTAGGTAACTTGCAAGTTAAAGGTGGGAAGACAATTACCCTGGCGAGCCAGAAAAGTGAGGAAAGAGTCTTCATTTTTCACTGCTTACCTGTGTGATCTTGGGAAAATGACTGAATCTCTCTGAGCTTTTGTATTCCTGCTGGGAAAATTAAGACTGTGATATTTGTCCTGCTTGCCTCATGGGTTCATTGTGAGGACAAAATGAGGTATCAGTGCTTTGAGTGCTGTAAATATTGAACATAGGTAAGAATCTTTATGATGAACCTAATAACAATGACCACCTTTTAAGATGTTGTTCCCTATTGTCCCTCTTCCCACACACTCTGTAATTGAACTAGTCACCTGAAGTATCCAGGGAAGGGTAAGGGGCCAAATCCAGAGAGAGTTGGGAGAGTGGGGAGACAGGACCATAGCCTGCTCTCTCCATTACTAGATTCTTGGAAAATTTTAGCTGTTGGAGGCTTCCAGTGCCCTCCAACCAGAAGTATAATAGAGCTGCCCAACCAAGATGGTACCTGCAGAAGGGAAGGAGGGGCCCTGGGATGAATCTTCAAGCAACGGGTAGATGTGCTGGCCCTGGGTCACATGGATAGAGGCATATGCTGCCTCTATCACAGAGCAGCTGTGTGAGCTTAACTCCTCTAAACCTCAAGTTTCTTCATTGATAAAATGGAGACTCAATAATACTTACCTTTTTATATTATATTGAGAATGCATTGAGGTGATTTGTAATGATGTGTCCACTCCTGGACCCGTAATAGTAATGAGACTGAAATTCATGAGCTTCTTCAGGTGAGGAACCAGTGACTATTATCTTTACATCTCCGTCCCCAAGCAGAGTCTCTGACACAAACCAGTGTTGTTGGACCAAAAGTGAATAGGATCATGGGGGGAAGGAGGGGTGGCAGAAAAGGGACCAACAGAAGATAAGACTGGGCAAGTGCATTTGGCCAAAATGCGAAGGGCCTTGAATGCCTTGCCAAAGAACTTAGGGGACACAAAATATTTTTATTGAAGGAGTGACGTGAACAGATATGGTTTTAAGGTAGCCTTGGAGACTTGTCAAGGGTGACTGTGGAAAGGAGTCCAATGGACGCCACCAGGTAGGTGGAGGCCAGAGACAGTGAAACAGCTTCCAGAAACATCCAGAAGTTGAATCTGAATGACCAGTTGGTTGTGGGAGGAGCAGGCAATTTGGTATTCTAGGGACTTCATCAAGACACCCAAAGGCTCCTTTGGTTCTGTTTCCTGTAGCACCCAGAAAGGGGAGGGAGGAGCAGGACACAGTCTTCCCTTAGCAAATACTATTTCAGAAACTCAAATCTGGTCCTGGCATCCAAGTGCCACTGGTCACACAGGGGTCAGAAAGTGTGTCTCAGAAAGGGAGATCACTCATCCCAGAGTGAGTTCCCCAGGGAACTGGGGAGACTGTCCACAGCAAAGCGATGGGCAGCTTCTGTCTTTTCTGTAGAGACTCTGTACCTGGGAAGAACTAAAACAGATTCTGATTTTTCAAAACAGGGTAATGACGGGGATTTGAGTTAACTCTGGTTCATCAAAAAGCTAAGTTGGGCTCCTTCACATGCATGTGGCTGCCTGTCTTCTCTCAATCTTTGCTGGATGCAGTAGGGAAACTCTAACCTGTTCTGGGACGCAGTAGTGAAGTTTGACAGGTTCACCACAGTTCTAGATGGTGGGTTGTTAAATCTGGTGTGCTTCTTAGACATGTTAGCTGCCAAGGGAGGAGCTCCTGGTCAGATCAAGTTCTGATAGACTCTAAATGGTAGGGGTTGACTCTCATCTCCAGATTTTCTGAAAGAGAATGGCTAAAGTTCATTTCACCTGGGATATGATTATTAGGAAGGAAGTTGGTCATAACTAACACCAATGATTGAGCACTTACTATGTGCCAAGCTCTTAGCTAAATGGTGAGCTTGACTTACTTAATCTTCATGGCATGGGGATTATTATCCCTATTATTATCTCCATGTTACAGGTGAAGAAACTGATGCCGAAGAATGTCAGTCACTTCCCTGAGGTCACATAGCTAATGCGTGGTTGGGTCAGGATCTGAATCCAGGAAGCCTGCTTTTGGACCTGCTACTCAATATCACACTGTCCCACTTCAAATCTGTACCGTACTGCATTGGGGTAAAAATTGGAATAGAGATGCTGCAGGAATTGCTTAAACATTCCTCCTGATTTTTCACTACCCCTACTAATAGTTGCTTGTTGGATTTTGCCCTCAACTGTCTTATTCACTTGGAATTTCAGATATTGTACAATAAAAGCCTTGCTAATTCCCCAGGAATGAATTATAGCACAGCCAGTCTGCCCAAGGGAGGAGTCTAGATCAAAGAGTGATGCCCTCAGTTCCATGTTGTTATTAATCACTTGTGGTACCATGTTTCCCTGTTTCCAGATTTGTGTTCCGCTTTGATACTCGGGGATGGTGGAAGCAAAGCAGATAAGATTGCTTTCATTTTTCACACGAGAAAATGGGCATTCAGAAATCAAATGACTTGGAAAAGCCATGCATTTGTTATTACACAATAAATTTATATGGGAGTCGAGTTCAAGGGGAATCAAATACTTTAAGGCAGGAGATAATAGGATCTGGAATACTTTAATATATCAATTAACAACTGTTCCAAATTATCAGTATCCTTGACTTAAAAGCAATGGTCTAATGCCAGACTTGGGAGGCTGAGGCAGAATCACAAGTTTGAGGCCAGCCTCAGCAATTTAGCAAGGCCCAAAGCAATTTAGTGAGACCCTGTCTCAAAATAAAAAAAAATAAAAAGGGGTGGAGATGTAGCTCAGTGGTAAAGTTCCCTTGGTTTCAATCCCAAGTTAAAAAAAAAAAAATGGTCTCAAGTCCTGGAAGAAGTTTATTCTCATTCTTATATACCTCTTTGCATCTTGTTTACACTCTTCCTTTTTCTGAGCAAGTCTTTTCTGTAGAGGTTCTGTACCTGGAAAGAACTAAATCAGATTCTGGTTTTGCAAGACAGAGTCATGATGGGGATTTGAGTTAATTCTGATTCATCAGAAAGCTAAGTTGGGCCCCCTCACATGCATGTCGCTGCCTGTCTAGAAAATTTTTCTCTAGAAATATGACAAACCTTTGTCCTCTTTGCAGCCCGTACAAGGCTTTGACTATGCCAAGCAGCACCTGGGCCAGCAAGGGGCAGATGAGGAGGTCATCCCTGTGACTCAGGAAACGGTAGTCCTCCCCCTGCCCGTTAGAGATGCTCCTCAGGAAAGAGACATGGCTCAGGACGGGAGCACCATCAAGACAGCCAAGTCCACGGAAACCAGAAAAAGGTAGGCACGGGGCCCACTGCTGCTTCTCAGTGTCAGCAAGAGAAATAATGGATGGAGAGAGGGACTGTGTGTCTCAAGTGAATTCTGCTGTTCCCCTTAAAAATTCCCCTCCATGCTCATTTTGAATATTGAAAAGGAGACTAAGGGAGATCACAGAATCTCAACACCTGCTCCACTCCAGCTGCCCTTTGTGAGGCTGTATGTTGTGGCTCAACCTCAACAGTGGCGATTCAGCCCCTCTGTTTGCTCTAACAAATTTGGCGGTAATATCACCCTTGTGTTTTTAGTGTCTCTTAAAAAGCAGTGCCTTTGATTCAGGATTGTTGTATTTTCTCTGATTTCAGCAAAAAACATTTATTAAGTTTTTACTATGAACAGAGCATTTGACAGGCATTGGAGGCCTATAAGAATGTGTAAGATTGGTTCTTGACCCCAAGGATCTCGTGATGGAGGAGACAGAGATAAATAATGGGACACTAAGCATGCTGATGTGTGAGTGCCCGCAGTGGGGTCTGAGTAAAGGGCTGTGGCATAGACAGGAGGGAGGACCTCATGCTGTCCAGGGAGACAGGGTGGAGCAGGAAGGGTCTGGGTCCTGGAAGAGATAAAAGCATCCATCTGCAAGAGCTGGGAGGGAAGGACAGGGATGTCCTCTGAATGGTGAATATTCCTGGAGTTTAGAGGTCACAGTGATTGGGATGTAGCAAAGGATAAAACCAGAAGATGGATTAATGACTGCCAGACTGAGATGGACCCTTATTCTCTAGACACTGAAAGTTCTCCAGGGAGACAGTGAGGGCCAGCCTGCATTTTTGAAGAACTACTTTTAATACAATCTAGATATATGGGAGAGGTTAGGTTAGAGACCCAAAGACTCATTATTAGGACTTGGCCTTATCAAGAGGTCATGAGCCCCATGGCAGGCACTGTTGCCTGGCAAAACCAACACTCATGCCAACCCCCTCTCCCTTGCCTGAGATCACTATCAAGGTAGAAAAGCCACGTCTTGCCTGCATCCATCCTTCTTTCCTCCCTTTATCGAACAGTTGCTTATTTGCTGTCTGTCTGTCAGGCACTAGGAATACTTCACCGAACAAGGCAAAGTTCCGATTCTCACAGAGCTCACAACCTGGTGTGGAGAAACAGGCAATAAACAAATAGAGGAATAGAAAAGGTCTATTTCCAGGTCCAGTGGATAAAATAAAAAAGAAAACTATGTTGGCAAGATTTCTGTTGTTTTGACTAACATACCTGAAGAGAACACTCATAAGAAAGATTTATTTTGTCTCGTAGAAAGACTCTGCCTACAGTTAGTTGGCTCCAAGGTAGACCATCATGGCAGAAGGGTAAGGCCGAGGAGAGCTTCCCATGGCAGCCAGGAAGCAGATAGAGCACCACAGGAAGAGCCAGGGATAGATGTAGTCCCCAAGGCCAAGTCCCCAGTGACCTCCTTCCTCTAGCTGTGTCCCTCCTGCCTGTGGTTTTCACCATACCTCTGTAGACCATTCAAATTATTCATCCATCAAGTGAATTAATCCATGGATGATGTGGGATCCCTCATGAGCCAATCTTTTTATCTCTGAACATTGCTGTATTGCCTAATGTCCCCCCCTAAGCTTTTGGGGGACATTCTTGGTCCAAACCATAACAAAAACTGAAATGCAACAAAGGGATGGAGGGAACGGGGCACAGCACTGTTTGAGGTGGGCAGCCAGGGAAGACCTCTCTGATCAATGACATTTAAGAAAGACCTCACCCATTGAAATGAGGTGTCAGCCAGGAGGCTGTCTGTGGGAAGAATGTTCTAAGTAGACAGAAGAGTATGTGCAAAGCCCAGAGGAGGGAACTTCTTGATGTGCTTAAAGAAGAACAAGAAGGCCAAGGAGGCTGGTGTGAACTAGGAAGGAAGGAGTGGTGTGAGTCGGAGAAGTTACCTGTGGCTGCTCCTGGCAGACTTTACAGACCAAAGTTGGGACTGGGAATTTTATTGAATAAAGGTCAGAAATCATTGGAGGGGTCTGAGAAGAGCAACAACACAACATGACTTAAAGGCTCACTCTGGCTTTATGTGGAAAAGAGACGGCAGGGGTGCAGAGTGGAAGCAGAGAGCCCTGTAGGAGGTTATGGCAGTGGTTCAGGTGAGAAGGCACGGGGACCATTGGGCCATTGTGTGAGAAGGGGGTGGATTCTGGAAATATTTTAAAGGAAGAGCTGACAAGATTTGCTGATAGAATGTTGTGGGATCTGGAAATTGAGAAGAGTGAATTATCCATTTATTTTGTTGGAGACTGAAGAAGACGATTGTTGTGGGGGATGATCAAGAGTTTAGATATGGGCATGGAGAGTTTGAGATGCCTAGAGATATGCAGGTAAAGTCAAGCAGGAACCTTGTATTTTCTTTCAGAAATTCTTGATACCTCAAAAAGAGGGTTGGACTTCACCTTGTTCAGGAAAGAAGGTTGAAGGAATGTGCATTAGTTATCTGTTGTTCTGTAACCACCCACTCCATAGCTTAATTGCTTAAAACAACCACCATTTATATGGCTTATGATTTTGGTGGTCTGATAGTTTGGGCTGAGCTCCACTGGTTGGTTCTTCAGTCTCAGTTGGACTTGCTCCTGTATCTCCAGTCAGGTGATACAGATCAAGTCAGCTAGGCTGACTCAGTGCTGATAGCCTTTTCTGGGGGTAGTCCAGGTAAGTGGGGCCTCTCTCCACCTCGTCTCTGATCCTCCAACAGGCTAGCCCTGGCTTTCCAAGGTTCCCAGGGCAGCAAGAAAAATAAGCCCTCAAGTGTAAGCATTTCTCAAGTCTCTGCTTGTGTCATGTTTGCTACTGTCCTGTTGGCCAAAGCGAGTTACATGGTCAAGTTCAGAGACAGCCACAAAACTTGGTACAGAGAAGTATAAACAAATTGTAACCATTATTGCAATGGATTAAGCAGGTGGGAGACCCTGAGCAGAGCAGAGTTGAAATGTACAGAGAAGCAATAGATGATTTATCTGAACTGACTTGCAAGTAATATTACCTATAGCAATTATCCTTATCTTTGCCAAGTATGATAAAGACATATTGACAACTTATTTATCACTTATTCAAAAGATACTGAAAAGAAAGAATTAGTATTACTAAAATTAGGATATTAACACTTCCAGGAAGAGGTCTATTGGAGTTAAATAAATTACTGAAAGATTAATTTTTTACAAAATTTTAGAATAAGCATTTTTTTGGATTAGTAAGGAGTCACCTCTTGCTGAGTTCATTTATTTACTATCAAATTCTTACTAAGAAATATGATCTTATGAGGTAAATACAGATAACTAAAATAATGCCTATACTTCTGCATGAGTTATTAGCTTCATTATTTTACTATAAAAATATGATTTTACTAAGGGTTGACTATATCACTGCCTAGGCTTTGGGAGAAACCTCATTTCTGGTCAAGTCATGGTTCAAGATCATTCAGAAAGATTTTAAACACCAAATCCATGCCTCTGGTTTCCCTATCTTGCCACATCCGTCTCCTCATTCCAGCTTGATACGGACTGTAGGGCCTCACGGGATGGGTGTGTTTGATGACCAAAAAAAAGTTTTGCAGATTAAAAATAGGGGAAACCAATTAATTGGTAATTATTAATTTGTTTTATTTTTAAAAATTATTTTAAAACAGAAATCTGAGGATTCATTCACTTCTAGATAGCCTGGTGTGTGGCAAAGGATCTTTTTCTTCCATCTAGGGTCTTGGTGATGTTATTTTGTTGGTCTTTGGCTGGAATTGATAGGCCAGAATGGAGAACCAACCTCATAGGAATATTCAGCCATTTGCAAAGGGCACTTAAATTAATGACTGGCCATAATTGTTCATCAATTGATTAGTTCCCACCCCAAAGAATTCCTCTCGTCTCCACCTCTACATAGCTGCAGAATGGGGACCATGAAGTTCAATAGTGTAAAACTACAATCCCACAGGTGGTGCATTTGTGCTTTCAAATATCACTTATATTACTGTTATATGAGTGCCTGTGAGCATGGGAATTTTGAACAGGAGGTTTTTAAAAATATTTTTCAGTTGTTGATGGACCTTTATTTTATTCATTTAATTATATGCAGTGCTTAGAATCAAACCCAGTGCCTCACACAGGTGAGGCAGGTGCTCTACCACTGCTCCACAACCTCAGCCCTTGACCAGGATTTTTGAGTCAATGACTCCATGTAAACAGAGCTCTACAAACTGATGCAAAAAATAAAGCAGACTTAGCTTTTCTCTATAGAAATTTGCTCATTGACACTTTTCCTTGGAATGAGAACAAGGAGTCAGAAAATTGATTCAGCATCAAGGAATGGAAAGGGTATGAAAATACCACCAAAAAATCATTAAGTAATTTGCAAATGTAAAAACAGATTACAAAGAGATTTTTTCCTTCCTGTCTGGACCTATATGAAAACTTTTTTGCTCCAATAAAACCAATGGGGGGAGTAGGTTCCTTTAACTATGAGATTCTGAAAACAATCCAGGGGCATGAGTCTTCTCTGTGTATGCGAATTTTGACACCCAGCATTCAGTGAACAAATAGTTATTAGATAAATAATAATACATATTCAACAAATTAATACCCGATCCATGTTTTTCTAGAAAATACCTTTTGTATTAGTATTTTTAAAGGATGCTAAAAGGTTTCATGGTGAAAGAGACTTATGGCCAAATAAATTGGGAAATGCTACATTAAATGCTAATGGAACTAGATGAGCCTATTTTTGACAGAACTGATCAAAGCCTTTTGTATGCTAATGTCATTTAGAATCCCCAAAGGAAAAATATAGTGAACATTTCCCAAACTGAGAGGGGTGTGTGGAACTTTGGCTCTAGTGTTCTATAGAATACTCAACAGATGCTGTCTTGTCCTGTAAGTATCCCAACATTCACTGTTGGTGGCTTTTAAGGTGCTAATGTATGTAGAACTGAGAACTCTAAATTCCTGGGGAAGGAAGAGGAGGAGGAAAATGAGTGTCTGCAGGGCACACAGCTTCTACCTAAGAAGCTGCTTGCCTACAGGTCAGGGGCTTTCATTCTAGTCAATTTTCTGTTGTAGGATCCAGATGCCAGTATTTGGGGCATTAGTTGGACAATTGACAGTAGAAGACCAAGAGGCTAGTCCTATCGAGGTAGCTGCCTCCTGACCATCTTCCACAGAGAGGAGGCAGGCGGTTGGCCCTTGTGCTCCATCTACCCACAGTGGCAGGATCTGAGGGCTGAGAGTGCCAACCTATGGGGGACTTTTGAGAGCTCACTGTTCCAGAGTTCCAGAAGGCTGGAGTCCAGCCCTGAGGGAAGGAAAGAAGGCCATGGCTTGCCCTCAATGGGGTTGCTGCTGTAGACAGGGAAGGAGGGTGTTCTGGGGTGTGGGTGGAAGGGCAGTCCTGGTTTCCTGGCTGGTTCACCACTGCCCAACTCTGTCCCAACAGCTCTCTTCAGGGTCATGAGCTTCATGTTCCCCTCTTTGTATGAGGCTGGCCGTCACCAAATCAGGGGATCATTCTAGTGACTCTTGACCAGTTCTGGAAGTACTTGGCATAGTCCTTGGCACACAGAAGATATTCCTGATGAGAGTGCTCAATGTGGATTGGCATCACTATGTCTATAGACCTGTTTACCTGGTATGATGCTTGGCACAAAGAATGAGTACGATACATATTTCTGAAGGAACAAATAGCTCAAGTTGGCAGTTTCAAAATAGAAGTGCTTACTAGTTCCTATAGTTAAAGGTTCCTATAGTTCCTATAGTTCAATTTCCACACACCTCTCTCAGTTTGGGAAATGTTCACTATATTTTTCCTTTGTGT